CCAGTAGATAGTTGTATGTCATAGTTGCACATCCTTCTAGTTGCTGTATGTGGGACGCGGCCTCAGCATGGCCGGAAAAGCGGTGCGTCAGTGCGCGCCCGGGATCCGAACCTGGGCCGCCCGTAGCGGAGCGAGCGCACTTAACCACTAAGCCACGGGGCCGGCCCCAAAAGTAAAGTCTTTATAAAAAAGACAAAGGGAGGCTGACTGATATTACATATTTGTGCACTGATTTTTCCTTCAGAAGAAATGGAATGAAAACAGAAGCTTTTAGTAACTGGATAATGGAATGAAAACTATTTTGTTGAATACATATTTTTCCAAATACTTGATTATGAGCTTATCTGGAGAATATTAACCATGGCTACCAAGAATAAGATATTAATGCAAAAAAAAAAAAAAAAAAGATTTAGGGGCCAGCCCAGTGGCATAGTGGTTAAGTTTGCGTGCTCCGCTTTGGTGGCCTGGGGTTCACAGGTTCAGACCCTGGGTGTGGACCTAAGCACCGCTCATCAAGCCACGCTATGGCGGCATCCCACATATAAAAGAGGGAGATGGGCACAGATGTTAGCTCAGGGCTAATCTTCCTCAGCAAAAAGAGGAAGATTGGCAATGGATGTTAGCTGAGGGCCAATCTTCTTCACCAAAAAAAAAAAAAAAAAAGGATTTAAATGGAAACCCAAGACATTTTTTATAAAGAAGCCAAATGAGGGGAACTTTCCCAATTAGACACTGGTTCAAAACCAAGGTCATTAAAACAACACCATATTCATGAAACCAGGCAGCCCACATGACACGTAAACAGACAAACACATGGGCTTTTTAGGCCAGCAAGGGGAGATGGACCACTCAAAAATGGTATCGGACAACAGGCTAATCACTTGGAAAAATAAAAAGAAGATACTCAGCTTGATCACTCTTAAGGACTAAATGTGTTCATTTTTAAAGCCATAATAGTCAGAGAAGGAACTATAGGCTTTTGAAAAGAATAACCTTGGGGAAGGCTGACATCAAGGGAGAGTCCATTCTGAAAACAATAAGCATACTTGAAAACAAAGAAATCTAGATTTTCTGTATGACCTAAACAAATCTGAAAGACAACCAACTGGAAAAAGGAATTTGTAAGGTACATCATTTTCAAAGGATTGATAATCTTCCAAGTAAAAAATTCTTACAAATCAAGGCCGGCTCCATGGCCTAGTGGTTAAGTTTGGCATGCTCCACTTCGGTGGCCCTAGTTTGGTTCCTGGGCGCAGACCTACACCACTCATCAGCGGCCATGCTGTGGCGGCGACCCACGTACAAAACAGAGGAAGATGGGCACAGATGTTAGCACAGGGTGAATCCTCCTCAACCAAAAAGAACAAGATTGGCAACAGATGTTAGCTCATGGCAAACATTCCTCAGAAAAAAAAAAAAATTCTTATACATCAACAAGAATAAAACAAGAAAGAGAAAATGGACATAAGATATGAGTAAGTAATTCACAGAAGAAATTCAAATGGCTAATAAATATATGAAAAAATGTTCAACCACACTAATGAAAACTTGAAATGTAAATTAAAGGAGTAACATTTTTTACCTGTTGAATTGGCAAAGGTTAAAAAGT